AAGTCTGGCTATCCTGGCTTCTAAGAAGCATTCTGGCTGTACTTCTTCCAAGATAGACTTGTGTGTTCTTCTGGAAGCTCATGGTACTTAAACTATTTTTTTTTCCAATTTCCTTATTCATTGTCCCAACTTTCAGGTACATATTGAAAATATCATGGTTTGGGTCAGGCACACACCTTGATCCTCAAACGTATCAGATCTGCCTAATGCAATCTGTTGTTTGATTTCTTGGATGCTGCTTCCATGAGTGTTGATTGTGTATCCAAGCACGATGAGGTCTTTGCAACAAGCAGTTAGGTTGAATTATATGAAATTGCCATTTTTTTAGATGAAAAAAAATTCAAATAGCATAATTTTCCCTAGACTTCAGTCTAATAATAAATATGATACATGATGGATGCTTTGATCAAATTGTGATAGTAAGTCCTAACTTAGTGGATGGGGCAAAGAAAGTTTCCTTGAAAGTATTGTCTGAAACATGAGCAGAAGTAGTTGGCCAAGAGGGGAAGAAAGCAGATGAGGAAAAAGAGATATCTTGTTTGGGGAAACAAATATGGATGGTATAGAAAATAGAAGGTTGTACCTTATCTTTCGTGATTCTACCCATGAGCCTTCTAGGACCTGAATGGCTGACAGCTAACTTCCTGTGCTACTGTTTCAAGGAAGATATGCACATTGAGTGGTTCATTAGCCCATGTCGACACGTTTCTAATGATGGGACTTCAGTGGAGGAACTTAAGGTTTCCAATGGCTGTTTAAATGGACCATAATGCAGTACTCCTAAGATATGTATCTGGGTGAGATTTTTCGCTTTCCAAATGATGCTTAAAGCAGCGAGGTGTTGTTTTCTTTCAACAGGGTAATGCCTTCCAGGGTCCTCGGAAAGCAGATATTGTGGCGAAAGAGAAGGTCACTGAGCTGATCCAAGCCCAGGCAGAAAGGATCTTGGCATTGAAGGAAGAGATTACTCTGTTGCGTAAGAAAGGTGGCCTTGTTCTCCCACCCATTCATCCTTCACAACAGTGAAATGAAGGCTACTGACTTTTAAGTTTGCTTTTTTTCTCAAATCCATTCAGTAATTTTCTTACATATGTAATTCATCAGAAGTTCTGTCACCTTTTCCCCTGTAGCTATCCTATTGTTTTTAAATGAACCGATCTAAATGTCTAAGCTTCATTCATGTAAGTTTTAAATAATTTTCTCCCAACTTAGTTATCATAGAATTGACAGCACCCAACATCTCCTTATTATTGAGCCATCTTAGTTCTGTTTGGAATCTACTAGATGAAATACGAAGTCTCAAAAACTAGGTCTCAAAATCTTGATAACATCTGTAATATATCTTGCTTTGGGAAAATTTATCTATTGGTTATCTAAAATTTTCGCTTTTGGCAAGACATTTTGTCATTCAGTGATAGCTTGAAAATGAGAAAATTTCCCTTCCGTCCTTAGAAAATAAACTTTGATGTTTTAAAATTTGTAAACATTTAAAATACTCTCTGAGAAGACCCAATAGGAGAAAAAAGGGAAATCAGTCCTGCTGTGGTGGTGTAGGATAAGCACTGAATTGCTAACCACAAGGTTGGCAGTTCAAACCCACTAACAGCTCCTTGGAAAGCCTATACAGGGTCGCTATGAGTTAGAACTGACTAGACGGCACTTAACAGTAACATTTTCCTACAAGGTTGGCAGTTCAAACCCACCAGCCACTCTGGGAAGCCCTATGGCTTTCTATGCATAGGGTTGCTATGAGTAGGAACTGACTGAAGGGCACTTAACAATAGCAATTTTTGCCAACAGTATCTTAAAATAAGAAATGCAAAGCCGACCTTTGACAACATTGTTGACTTTGTAAAGCAATCATCTGAAAACTCAGGATTCAGGAAATGCAGCCAAACAGCAGAGCAGTTTGTTTTAGTTTGCTTAGGATTGGCAGAGAGCAGGAAAATAACCAGTTTCCTGAATCACCCATAGTTTTAGCAAACTCCACTGGTGAATAATTTGCCAGTTTTAACATAGATAGGCCAGGAAGTAATGAAATGGTTGTGTACCACTCAGAGATCATTTGTAGCAATCACTTTTGATTATGTATAATACTTTAAACTGTAAATTAGGTTAAGGGTATTCTTTTGGTTTAAGGGTAAGTGCCTGTTGAAATCCATGGCTGGAACCATTTATGAATGATCTCATTGATGCTTAAACTCCTATTAGTAAAACAGGTTTCTTGTATTGTGTGCCATCTGGTTAATTCCATCTTTTTTTTTTATGATATGAACTTTTCCACTGTCCACAGATACAGTCAATTTGATTCCTATGTACTTTCTGTGGTGAGGTCCATTTGTATAGTCACCTTATGTTGTTTTAAAAAAAGATATTTGCAATGAATAAGACATTGGTTTTTACAAAATTCTATAATTTTGATCTCCACTGGTTAATTCCATCTTTTAGTGACCTTTTATGACAGGTTAGAACTTCCCCACAGTTTCTGAAGCTGGAGTCCTGGTGTAGTACTATAGCATAAAGCACTGGACCACAGGGTCTGTTTGCAAGGTTGGCAGTTCACATGGTGGTACAGTGGTTAAAGCCTTAGGCCACTAACCAAAAGGTTGGTGGTTTAAACCTATCAGCCAGTCTATGAAAGAAAGATGTAGCAGTCTGCTTCCATAGAATGTTGTTAAGTGCCATCGAGTCGGTTCTAACTCTTAGTGACCCTGTATAGAATTTTCAAGGAGAGGTGGATGTTTGAACCGCTGACTTTGTGGTTCAAACTGACCTTCAGTCCAGCGCTTATCCTACAGCACCACACCAGGACTCCATAAAGATTATAGCCCGGGAAACCCAATGAGGCTGTTCTTCTCTATCTTATAGAGTCGCTATGAGAAGTGTATTTGATGGCAGTGGGTGGTATTTGCGAGAGCAAATTGCCAGGTCTTTTCTGCTGCCCAAAGCTGAGTAAGTTAGAACCACTGGTCTTTTGTTTAGCAGTCAAATGCTTACCCATTGTAATAAAAGGTAACACTTTAGAATTAGAGCTCTAGGGGTCCATGTTAATGAATCGGTTCCACTGAGGCTGTCTCAAAATATAAATTGTCCACTAAGAAGGAAAGATGCTGAAGACAATATTACAATAAACTACAAAGCAACTCGGCAATCTCAAGTCTTCCTAACCTGCAGCTTGAGGTTAGCCTGCTGATTTCTGTCCCCCCACTGCCAAAAAAAAAAAAAAAAAATTAGGCGCAGGACCTGCTTTCTTTATGTTAAAATGTTCTTGGAGATGACCATTTACCCATTGTCTAAGATTCTTTCATATTTCTACTTAAGAGGTCAGAGTAGTTTAATGTTAGTGCCTGTCACCCTAAATCTCTGATGTAGTATCTTCTCTCCTGTGGAACATACTTAACCACTTTCTCTGCTGTCTACCCTAAACCATGTGTGACTGTCAAGCATTTTAAAAAATGTGCTAATCACAGCTCTGAATGGATTACATTGCTATTTCTTGCTGCATAAAACATCATCCCACAACTTAGCTTAGAACAACAAGCACTTATCTCAAACAATTTCTGAGGGGCAGGAATTTGTGAGAAGTTTAGCTTGGCATTCCTGACCCAGGGTCTCTTGTGAGCTTGCAGTCAAGCTGAGAGTTAGGCCTGCAGTTATCTGAAAACTGACTGGAGCTGGAAGGAACGGCTTCCAGATTTACATGGCTGTTTGGCAGGAGGCTTCTGTTCCTCCCCAGGTAGGCTTCTCCATCGGGCTGCTCCTGAGATGGTGAGTGAGGGATCCAAGAAAGAGGGAGAGAGCAAGAGAGAACAACTGAGGCAGAAGCAGTTTTTGTTTTTATTACTTAATCTCACAAGTGACTCACCATCACTTCTGCCATACTCTACATCAACCAGTTGCCATAGCCATAGAGTAGAACCGTCCTCTACAGGGTTTTCAGTGACTGAATTTTCAGAAGTACAGGTAGTCCCTGCCTTATGAATGAAGTCTGTTCTTGAGTGTTCTTTAAGAATTTGTAGGTAAGAATCAGATCATTAGACAAAGCAGTAGAAAGCTGAACGACTTTGGGCAAGAAGCTTGCTTGTAGAGTGGGGTGTCGCCATGCACTAAAATGTGGGAGCTAGGTTTGCTCACCCATAGAGCTAGAGCTGAGTGCATTCAGACTGAGGCTTATGGTGGGATGGTGCATCCTGTGGGCATTTATCAGCTGCTGACTGGAACAACTGTGCCCTGGGTATTTCTGAGCCTAAATTGTAACATGTTGACTTTCCTATAAGCCCCATAAATCTGGGGGAGAGGGGGAAAGAATTTGTAGGTAAGAGCGTGTGTATATAGTCCTTATTTAATCTTTATTGTAAGAAAAGTCTCGATGTTTTTCACTGATGTAATGTAAAAGCTGCACATGCACAAGTGATTGTGATGAAGAATTTGTAAGTATAGGTTCATTCAGTGGTTTCAAAGTGAAGAAAATTTTACATAAAGTTAAAAAGCAATTAAGAGTTGTTGGACCTTCATAACCCAGGGGAATGCCTGTAGATCACATTGTTCTGAGGTACCCTGGAGTGGACTTGAAAGACCACCGAGCATGTTAGCCATTTGCACCACTGCGAGATTGCACGGTACAGCATGCAGAGTGAATACCAGGAGGTTGGGTTCATTGGTGGTCATCATGGCTGAGGGAGACTCTACCACAATTAAAAACTGCTGGGATGAAGGAATTGGTCTCTTAAGATCTTGAGATACTATCACTTTGGTGGTGCTGGTGGCTATGTGCCATGGAGTCGGTTCTGACTCATAGAGACCCTATACAGGCTTTCCGAGGCTGTACATCTTTACGGGAACAGAAAGCCTCATCTTTCTCCCGTGGAACAACTGGTAGTTTCGAACTGCTGATCTTGAGATTGGCAACCCAATTCATAACCACTACGCCACCAGAGCTCCTTATTATCCCTTTAGTAGTGGTGAAATCCAAGGGAAGTTGCATAATCTCCTGGGCCTTACTTTATTATCTGACAAGGAATTTGGAAAATGTCTAAGACTCTTTCCCATCCTGAAATTGTTGTTAAGTGCCATTGAGTCGATTGCGACCCATAGTGACCCTGTATAGGGTTTCCAAGGAGCAACTGGGGAGCTTGAACCGCCGACCTTGCAGTCTGGCACATTAACCCACAGCGCCACATCAGGATTCTATGTGAGTTTAAATGCAGCAAGAATGTATTTAGAGCCTTTGGAAGAGTCCTATCAAGAATTCCATGTGTATTTCAACCCCTGGCAAAACTAATCAGGATTGTTGCTTTTCCCCAAATTGCACTAGATGAGAAGTATGATGTCTTCCCCCAGGGATTGGTCCCTACTGACAAGTCCAAAGCACGTGAAATGAAGTCTTGCCAGCCTCTCTTCTAAGCATTTTAGCTGTACTTCTTCCAACACAGATTTGTTTGTTCTTATGGCAGTCCATGGCACCTTCAATATTCTTTGCCAACACCATAATTTAAAGGTATCAATTCTTCTTTGGTCTTACTTATGCATTGTCCAGGTTTTGCATACACATGTGGTGACTGAAAATACTATGGCTAATTAAGTCTACATTGTTCAAGGGCTGCTTTTGTCATGGCTGGAATTCGGCAACGTAGTTAACATTTTGTCGTTAAGTGCCTTCAAGTTGGTTCTAACTCAGAGACCCTGTATAGTATTTCTGAGGAGCAGCTAGCGAGCTTGAACTGCTGACCTTGCGGTTCAAACCAACCTTGCAGTCCAGAGCATTAACCCGCAGTGCCACACCAGGACTTCATTTAGTTATTTTTCTTTTTAATTGGACAAGACATAGTTTTAGTTTCATTTCTACTTGATTTGAATCTCTAATTAAATGTGGGCATCTGAGACTTTGGTTAGTTAAGCTTCTAAACAACCAGAGAGTAGCTCACAGCAGGAGGTGGATGGGAAACTATCCTGTTTCTTTCAGAATGACTTTCTGCCTCCTAGTAATGAGAGAAGGCAATCTCCCCTCTGAAGGGGAGCCAAGAATCAGTCTAAAATGAGTCTAAATTTGTGGCTCTAACTATTAATAGAACTTGACTATTTTGAGACTAGGCCCATAGTATCATGCACTTTCAGCAATGGAAGAGATAAACTGTAGCCAGTCCAGCTCTTGTCACAACTTCCTGAGGAAAGGGCTGCTCATGGCTGCAGTGAGCCCACCCTGAGCGTGATCTGAGGCACCAGTGCCCCTCACCAGCTTTCACTCACCAGGTGTTGTTCTTTCACTTGGTATTTATGTAGCTTTTGCTGACTGAATCAAAATATTTTGTTGTTAAGTGCTGTTGAGAGTTGGTTCCGATCCATAACGACCCTGTATAGGGTTTCCAAAGAGCAGCTGGTGAGTTTGAATCACTGACCTTAAGGTTCAAACCAAGTTTGCAGTCCAGCACATTAGCCCACAATGCCACACCAGGACTCCAATCAAAATATTACAAAGGCATTATTTCTAATGGCAAATCCTAGTGTGGCCAACTGAAACAGTCCGTTCACCTGAATCCAGAGAAATAGAAAATGCAATGAAATTGGAAAGCTGAACTTTTTCACTATTTGGGCTAAAATTTTAAAAGCCTGGTACTTTCCTATTTTTTACCCTTTCCTCTCTCTAACTGGCTGAGGTAAATATACACATTTCATTTAACATGCCTCAGAAGTGCTTTTTCTTTCCTCAGGCTCCTTTCTTTTCTTCTCTTGAGAGCTAACATAATTCAGTATGCTTATGGTTCTACTGTTATGCAGGGCAGATGTTTTACTTATCACTTCAGTAAAGTCAAGAGCCAAAAACAAAGGGAGACAGGAAAGCCAATGGTCTAGAAAGGGAGTCACAGCTCAGATGGGAGGGCCTGAATTAGGCACATGAGGACTGAAGGCATTTGCCGGCATTCCTGAGGGGGCTGTCTAGACCCTCAGTGTCTGAGGTTGCTACCTATTTCTCCTTTCCTTTGGCTTCCGGGTGCCTTATGTACCTTAATTTTTCACTTTAAAAAAGTTTCCTGAAAATCATGGTGAGTTTCGGTTGCGTTCTGGCTGAGGTTTAGCTGTCTGATAGAGAAAAGCTACAGATATCTGGAGAAGAACCAGGTGTATTTCTTCTGGCCATCAGAGGAGGGTGCACTTGTCCAAGCCTGACACCCTGACCTCCCATGGGATCTTGTTTATCAATTCTTCAGAGTGAGAACACCAAGCCAGAGTTAAGTATCTCAAGTGGCATTTCATTTCTGTATCTCAAGTGGCATTTCATTTCTGTTGTTGTTAAGTGCTAGTGACTTGGTTCCGACTCATAACGACCATGTTTCCAAGAAGTGTCTGGTGGGTTTGAACTGTGCTACACCAGGACTCCATTTCATTTATAACTTTGCTGAAATCCATAAAATGCTCGGTGTCTTCTCGTCTTTCATTGTAAGCAAGCTTCGTTCTCCATCCAGTCTCACATAGATTTTTAAATTGTGATTTAAAGAATCTATGGTTGATTCTTTCCTTGGACAATAGTAAGTGTGAATTATAAATTGCTAGTGAGCCAATCCCTCAGGCAAAAATAGTGTGTATCTTTGCAATGAAAGGAGGTGAGGAGGTGAATTTTATTAGGCACCATATGTTCACAGGTAAGATAGTATTCAACTAAATGGCATTTTGCAGAAAACATTTGCTGTCCAACATACACACCTATGTAAAGAGAGTTTCATTTCTTTAATCTGACTAAAGCTTTATCTCAAGTCAGTTCAGAAAAGAACTCTGAATCTTACTGTACAAAGTCTCCTCTTGGAATAAGCAGTTATGAATGCATTTTGCATAAATTAAAATATAAGACAAGAAACTAGAAACCTCTGCAGACTCTTTGGGACCGCATCTCTTGATGGATCTGAAAGTGACACAAGCAGGTATTTTCTTCAAATACTCAAACGCCAAATTACAATGTCTAAAGAAAAATGCTGACTCATTCAGGACAACATTGAAGGTTACAGGGAAGACTAAACATTTATTTAGAAGTTACAGTGTTTGTTTTTACAGATATATGCTGCCGCAGATTACTGATTCTGGAAGGTTTGTTAATGCTTTATAGGACTATACACATCTCAGTCTATCCTCATGAGCTACTTACGAAAACGTTTCCTGTGATACCAAATCCAGCCAGCGTCTGTGCTTCCCAACTGTGAGTCAGTGCACCTTGCTTTTTCCTTTATGGTTAACATGGATGGTATGTCTAGAAGTCTTTCTTACAGGTCCCCTACACCTTGTAGGCAGCTGTAGAGATTCTAAGTGAAGACTTGTTTTCCTGGGTCTGTGTTCTGGACAGCCTGCCCAGTTGACATGTTAATATGGAGGCTTCTTCGTTTTCCCACTGATAGCTCAATGGGTAGGATTCCCCATGTCTCTTCAGAATTATAAAGACACATATACATTTATTTACAAGTGCATAAATATATAAATATGGCTATTATAGAAAAATAAATACCAATTTTCTCTGTCTCTTAAAAAAACAATATATATAGTCTCTCTGGGAAATTGGCTTCTGTCTAAATTGCAGGAGGTGGCGTCTCAAAGGACACATGCACTGGTGGGCCAGGGGAGAGGTGCATCCCAAGTTCCTGTCCTACGTAGGCCCCTGTGGGGTGCTGAGGACACCAGTCTCTACCTCCTTGACAGGAGCCAGGACTGTCCACCTCTTCAACCGGTATGAGGCCCAAGCAGCATCGGGGAGCTGTGGGGAGAGAAGGCAGGAAAAATGAAAGTCCAGACCACGGAGGAACCAACACCCACCCAGGGCTCCTGTGAAATGAACCTCTGTGAGGGAAGCTGGTTCCACTGGCCCTAATGGAGAGGCTGATACGAGAATGGTCCTGCTCCCTCTGAGGGTAGGGCTGTCTGTTACGGTCCCACCTAAGCAGTGCAGTGGTGGGGTCGTGGAGATTTGCACGGTCTAGCCTGCACCACGGGGGCAAGTGACACCTGCTGAGCCGGTGGAAGAAAGCCCTGCCCTGGCCATATTTAGACTGCTTGTCCACCTGTTGGTGTGGCTTCTGGTTATTAAGATTACCCCACTCATAATATATTCTCTCCAGCTCAAGGTGGTCCAATTGTACTAATGCTGGTCTGGCTCCTGGAGACCTCTGCCTTTTAGAATGTAATCTCCCCTGAGCAGGCTCCAGGATGTACATCTGTGCTGGCATCTATACCATGACAGCTAAATTGCATGATCATGGGAACTAGTCTGCCTGACTGCCAAGACACCTGGTCCAAAAGGGGCGGACAATAGGATGGGGTGGCATGCAGGGCCTCGAGTCCCTCAGAGAAAAAGTTGTGTGGAAGCACAGAAAGTGATTATGATGGATGCAACCTGATTCCTTGATTAAGAGACAAGACCCAACAAAGCTCTGTATTCTGGAGTGATTAGAGAATGCCTCTGTGTGATGAGAGGTGGGAGGGATTTGTTAATGGCCTTGAAATGCAGAGACCAAAAGGGCTGCTTCTCTCTCTGAAATGGTTAAGCTGTTCTTGGCTTTGGGGTGCCCACCTGGTCCACCCTGCCAATGTTCGTGGCCTTCATTCCCCCACCCCTCACCACCTTTAATGCCTGCTCTCTCCCTGGGCCAGTATGCTTTCCTCACAGCCTGCCCAGCCTATGGGTCCCCACCACTGACCTGAGTGAAATGGAGGGTCCCACGCTGCCTCCATCCCAGGACTCTTGGCAGTACTCCCCGTTCTGGACTGTCCCGTGGTGGCGACAGGCGGTTCCTGAAGGTGGCAGCAGTCCTGGTGGGGCTGGAGGAGCTGGTGAGTTGAGTCATCAGGCAGAGTGTATAGGAATGCGCCCTCGTCCTGGCCAGCCTTGGGAGCTCTGCATTGATTGAGACCAGAAAGAAAGGTGAGGTGGGACAGAGTGGGCTGGGACTCCCACACTGCCTCTGATTGCTTTCCTGTCTGGAAGGTACCAGAGCTGAGATGGAGACTAATGTGCTTTGAACTTAAGTAGGCACAACATTTCTACTGGTAATTCTAGTCCTAAGTGTGTGGGAAGGCATGAAGTCAAGTGCCCAGGGGTCTATGGGTACAGTCATTTGTATGTCGCTGCAGCTAGTCGGCTAGGTGAGGGTAGGATTCTGAGCAGTCAACACATGGCCCAGAGTAGCTGTAAAAAACAGCAACTAGCTGTTAGGATAACAGCCCTGCAGAGCGAGGTTTTCAGATAGGAATGTTTCTCTTAGGGATCTCCATGTCAGGCTTTCCGTGACTAGAGGCTGGGTTTGAGGAGCTACTGAGAAAATGAGGCTCTGGGGCTCATGAATTAAAAGCAGGAATGGGGAAGGCTAGTTACCTGGTAATCTGGCGACTCGGGGGGTCATATCCATTGCCATGAATGGTCTGCCTCAGCAGGCTATTGGTGCCATCCTGCTAATAAAAAGGTCACTTCAAGAAGTGCAGGTAACTTCACACTGTTCAACTGGATGAGCTGGCTCCCAAGAAGCCCAGGATTCGAGCCTGGAGGGAAGGAAGGCCACTTCCTCTTGGTGTCCCATGCTGGTGCCTCCACACCCAGGAGTACCTTACCTGCCGAAGCTCCCCTGGGCAGTGTTGCTGAGGTTTCGGTCCTGGATAGCTCACTGCAGCTGCAGGGCAGCTTCGATTCACATGGACCCCATTGGCACAGGCCCGTCCATTAATGCCACTGAGGTAGGGCTGCCCGTTGTCTCGGTGGCCTGGGAGTCCTCCCAGTGGCACCATGGTGTATTGGCAGGAGGAAGATAGAAGGGCACTTCGAGGGAAACCCAGGTCTGTAGTGTGTTCTGAAAGAACAGGAGGACAGAGTATGGTTAGACCAAGGAGGCTTGGAGCAGCTTTATAAAAAGTTCTACACAAATGTTAGGGAACTTCTGACTACCCAGGCTCAAATGAGGTAGGCGAGGGGTTAACCCTGCCGAAGGGATGAAGAATATTTCCTTGGAATATTCTTCATGTCACCTACTTCTCCCTAGCATCTATCAGTGGGTAGAAAGAAGGGTGACAAGATATAAGGACAAGAGTTTGGGGAAGGAGATAGTGAGCAAACACAAGGAGCAATATATAGATGAAGCAGGTTGACCATAGATGTTGCCAGTTGAAGTGGATAAAAGATGAATCCCGGAATCAGAGGGAAGGTTCAAAGCAGCCCCAGGACCAGAAAAAGAGGAAACACTCAATTATATTAAGTATGAACGTGAGGTCACCAACTCATCTCATTAAAATAAGTCAAGAAAAGGCTTTCATTCTATAATAAGCATTCTGCAGGGGTTACCGAGAGTGGAAGGAAGAGAAATTCTTCACTGGGTACTGTAGACACATGCTAACTTGGGTGAGGGGAAGGTAGTTAAAAAGGAAAGGAAGAGGGAAGAAAAGGGAAATTGCTTTTTGGTTTTTTTTTTTTTTTCCTGTACTAAAAGAAATAATGTAAAAAAAAAATTATGTATCTCTCTGGCTCATTTATATATATAGAGGACAAACTGACTTGCACTTCCTCATGCTCTCCAGCAGCCCAGGCGTGTGAGAGAACGGTTGGTCTTGGAGTGTTCTGACTCTCTCAGGGACCTCTGGGGGCTGTGGAGCTGGAGCTCCCACAGAGTGAAGCAGAGCTGACCCTGTCCTGGAGGTATTGGCCTCCTTCGTGGACTCCCTTTTGTGCCGACAAGAGTTACTCACTTTGTTTAGACCAGGCCCTCCACAAGCAGAAGGGGATGAAGGCAACGATGATGAGGACGATTGAGCCCAGGACAACACCGACGATGAGATAGGGCAAGTCGCTGGAGCGGGCCACCATGGCCCCGGTACCCATGGGCCGCTCTATGGTCTCAGGGGGTGGCGGCTGCAGTGGGGCCAGTGTCGGTGGTGGAAGACGACCAGAAGACTTGCGAGCTACAATTAGGGATAAAATTCACTTTGGCATCTTTGACATTTCCTTCACAGCAAAAAGCAAATGGGGGTGGTGGTGGACACTGTATCCCAAGGGTGTGGGAAATGGGGAGGGTTGCAAAGTCCCTTATTAAAATGGTGTCCACATTCAGCATGAAATCTTGTCTATTGTGGAATTTGGTACTATTTAAGATGCCTGAGCCTTCTATTTCAGAATATAACCTGAGACATTTGTGATCCAAGTACAAGGTCAAACTAGGTCTTTTAGGCAGAAGTGTGGAGATTTTCTGAGACAGTAGTTGGCAAACTTTTGGGAGAAAACATTTCAAAATGCATGAAACCAGCAAAAGAATTGGGAATGGAAGAACGTGCCCAACAAATTTAGTTCTTCACAGAGAGTAGCGTAAGAGATGAGAAGTACTAGGTGACTGGGAATGAGTATCCTGTTGTGCAGTTTGTGATTATAGATAAGCATATACATAACGCAAGTCAACATTGGAAAATATGCACTTCTACTACCAAAGTGATGAGTCCTGGTGTGGCACTGTAGGATCAGCCTTGGACTGTTAACTACAAGTCGGCGGTTCAAACCCACCAGCCGCCGCTCCTCAGAAACCCCTACAACAGAGACACTGTGACTGTAAACTTGACTCACAGCAGGGAGGTGGGCTTCACTAAGACATCACAGCCCTTGGGTGGTGCAAACAGTTAATGCATTCAGCTTTTAACCAAAAGGTTAGAGGTATAAATGCACCCAGAGGTGCCTCGGAAAAACTGCCTGGTGATCTTATATAATCAGCTAGAAAAAACTCTCTGGAGCATACGTCTACTCTGACACACAGGGTTGCCATGAGCCAGAGTCTCCTTGACTGCAAGTTGTTAGAACAAATACAGTAAGTAGTGAAACGCCGATTCAATGGTCAGAGTAGAGTGTAGACTCCCCACCTAAGTTTTGCTATTACCGGAATGTATCTCTGAACTCCTGCCTCTTTCCCTTGACTTTATGAATAAGTCATTCAATCTCCTGACATCCCCAGGCCTGTCTTGCTAGTATTCTTTACATTTCTCTTTTCCTGCCCCTCACAAACTGGTGGGTCTTCCTAGTTTCTCTCCCTTCTGTACCCTCTTTGCGTAATCTCAGCTGTTCTCATGATCTCAAGAACTCCCAAATCAACGTCCCCCACCTGGGCCCCTTCCCATGACAGGAGACATGTTTCTCATTTGAATACTTGTTGTTTGAACGTCCTAAGACTCAGTTTCCATGTAACTTCACCTTGTTGCTTTCTAATAAGATCTGCTTTTGGTCTTGCCTTCCCCATTTCAATACATGGCAATAGCATCTGTGTAGTACCTCCAGGTTTACTGTAAACCTTTCACGCTGTCTTAGCAACAACACACAATGTCTCCTGGCCCTGACCATATGTCCTTAATTCCTTTTCTTTATTTTGGGTGGCTTCAGTTCTCTCCCCTCAGCTAACTCTTAATATGGCTACCAGTGAGTGACTCCTCTCAATGAACAAATCTTATGATGGCCCTCCCCTGCCTGACATCCTGACAATGTCTTTGGCCTACATCCCACGAGTGTGTGGCCTCCTGCATACATTTCCTCTCAAATTTCCCTTTCAGGCTCCCTGACACCCAACTATCAGGCGCTACCTCCAGCCTTGACCTGTCCCCTTGGCTACATCCCTATTTCCAGCCTGAAGATCTAACCCTTTATGACCAGTGTAAATGTCTTCTTGGTAATGCCTGATACAGGATTTGGGGGGCTGTATAAGTATCTTCACCTCACTTCACTGTACTTAATGAACAAGGGCAGGGAGTGTACACAGGAGGCACTTAAGTGTTTGCTGAATAATTCAGTGCAGAGCTAGAGAAATAACGTTGCTGTCTCCATGATGTTAAGTGCCGTGGAGTCATTTCCGGCTTTTATAGCAACTCTGTCTAGGGTTTCTGAGGAGCAGCTAGTGGGTTTGAACCATTTACCCTGTGTTTATAAGTCCAGTGCTAATCCTACAGTGTCACACCAGAAGTCTCCATATAGGAAATGGCAGTATTACTTTCTTATCACCATTCTTACTCCTTTGTGATCATTTGATAATGCAGATAACAGTATCTATCCACCCAAGCAAGGAGCTCTGGCAGTAGCGTAGTGGTTACAAATTGGGCTGTGAACTGCAAGGTCAGCAGTTTGAAACTACCAGCTTTTCCGCAGGAGAAAGATGAGGTTTTCTGCTCCCGTAAAGATTTACAGCCTCAGAATCCCTGTGCAGGGTCACTAGGAGTCAGAACTGACTCCATGGTACGTAACAACAAGCAATGACTATGTGAATGGAGTCCTGGTATGGTACTATGGATAAGCACTGCACTGGACTGCTAACTGCAAAGTTCACAGTTCAAACCCACCAGCCGCTTCTCGGAAACGCTATCTAGGGTCTCTATGAGACAGAACCAACTTGATGGCACTTAACAAAAACAGCAAAATGCTATATGAATATGTTCAACCTGCCCTTGTGTGGAGAGAGAGCCTGGGCTCAGAGTTAGATAAGCATGACTTGCAGTGTGCCCCACTACTAATTGACTGTTTGACCTTGACCAAACATATAACTTCCTGATGCTCAGGTTCTTCCATCTCCAATGAGGCTGCAGTTAATGTTGAATAAACCAAGCACCGTAAGTACCAAATGTTACTAAAGGAGTAAAGAACTGCTGACCTTGCGGTTTCCAACTTAAGACTGAGTTCTATTCGATGAATTCGTGTATGAGTTAACAAACACCCAGGTTTCCTTGTAGCTGTAATTGTCTTCTCAAAGCAAAGCTATCACAATGGTACCCTGTTGTTTTGCTGTTGACAATTCCAACTCCTAACAACCCTCTAGGTCAGAGTAGAACTGCGTCATAGAGTTCTCTAGGCTTTAATCATTAAGATCACCAGCTCTTTTCCCCCATGAAGTGGCAGGTTCAAATTGCCCATCTTTCAGTTAGCAATCAAACATTGAACCAATGGGTTACCAAGGCTCCTGGATGGTAATATGAGTCACAGGCAAATGAGGAGAAGGTTAAATATGACAAAGTGTACGGATACTCTGAAATTAAGGAGTTTTCCCATCATGGCACAAGGAATAACGGCTTGGCCCTAGTTTGCTGGAAACAGCGAGACAAGATGGCCGAGACCCTACCTTTGGTTTCACAGATCATCACGTTGCTGAACTCACTCTCCCCTCCTTCATTGAAGCACTGCATCTTAATATCGTAGGAGGTTTCTGGCTGCAGGTGGCTGATGGAGTGCCAGTACCTATCCCCTGAAAAGAGTGGAAATGTCACATGTGGGGGGCGTCGCCCCAACCTCACAGGGAGATTCAGACAAGGGCTCTGTACCTGGTACTGGGGACAATTTGGTGCCATTGGAGGAAATGGTCTTGATCCCCACCCAAGCGCCTGCTGTCCCATAGTCATGAGAAGGAAGCATGTCAGCTTAAGAACTTGATGGCCCCAAGTGTGTCATGTGTGAGTCAACGACACAGGGCACATATGCTTCTGCACCCAGGATGGGATTTATGCCTCTGTGGATTTCTCCAACACCCAGGTCCCCCTTCCGGCACCCCAAAGTGGTTCTTACCTTCCACCATATCCTTTTTATAGTCACTATCATTGTCACTGTCTGTGGGTCGATAGTAGATATAAAAGCCATGGATCGGAGTGTTGTTGTTGCTTGCGGGAATATACTATAGGGAATGGAGAGAAAACAAGTGGACAATGGAGCAGAGAAATCATCAGAACCAAAGGAGGACAATTTTACCCCCAGCCTAGAGTCCTGCTAACCTCAAGGTTAGCAGTTCAAACCCACCAGCTGCTACTCAGAAGCTCTGTGAGTTGGAACCTACTCCATGGCACTTAACAACTACAGAGTTTGATTAGCATTGGAAATTTCTGAGGATACACACAATATCCATGAGGTTTTTCTCAAGAGTTCTATGGAGGACATTATTTTAGCCCCAAGATTTTGGAGATGAAAAACACATTTCTCCAAAGACTCAAGTACCCTGTAAATCTTCCTGGGCTCTGTGAGCGTGAGTACTTCTGGCTGAAAAGCGCAACAGTGTTGCGATCCCCTGTGGTGGCTGAGGAAGGACAGGAAGGAGGGTGGCATATCTGAACACAGCAGGCTGCTGGAAGTCTACCAGGATTGGTGCCTTAGACTTCCAGACTACCAGACTGGAATTTAAGGCACCAAAATCAACCAAAAGACCACTAACTGCAGCACCAGGTGATAGATCCCCTCCCCACCTCCAACAACTGAGCTCACAAGGAGAATCCAGCTCCCAGGTATGCAGGCAGAGGAACACTTAGGGGAAGACGTCTTGGGAGACAGGCTGAGGCAGAGGAGTGATTCTTTCCAGCTCCAGCTGCAGGCAGCCAGCTCAGTCCTGACACAAACCCCAGGGCCATCTTCCTGTGGCAGCAGCATCCAGCCCACTTACCATCCACTTGAGCATGATGGTAGTCTCATTAACGGCATCCGTGAAGGTGATGTAGGGGCCTGCCACAGGCCTCTCATACACGCGGCCGCTGTAGCCTGACACCATATATGGCCGGGAGGGGGCGCTGGGCTCGCTCTCTCCCAGCATGTTCAGGGCTCGGACTCGGAACTTGTAGGAGGTGCCTGGTGAGCAAGACAGATGCTCACTGAGCCCAGAGGTGGGAAGCAACTTTGGATTACCCCACTGCCCATCAAGGCCCAGGACCAGAGGGTTCTTCTGGGCAACAACACATCCTCAAAGGACTCACATCCTCATCCCAAAGAAAAGGGCTCTGGACCTTCTTATGGATAGAGAAAGAAAGGGCTGTGGGTCTCAGGTAGACACAAGGAGGATGCATGTTAATCTCCCAGTGGATGGAGGGAAGGGTGTCCAAAGTTCCCGTCCTCCCTCTCCTCCGAGTGGTCAGTGGAAGAGTCGGGGGTCCTGTGGACTCACCTTTCTCTAGGCCTGTGATCTCCACGGAGAGCCGGGAGGGTGGGATGGCACTGGTATCCAGAATCCAGTCCCCCACTTTCTTCAGCTTCTTGTACTCCACACGGAAGGACTGGATCGGGAACCCACCATTCCCACGAGGAATCCAGGTCACATACACGGACGTCTCAGAGGCCATGGAGATGGTGGGCCTGTCTGGAGCTTCTGGGGCTAAGAAAGACCAGACACAACAGGGAAGGATGCAGAAGGCAGGTGCACAGAGAGATGATTGTTGTGTTCTGACGAGACTCGCCAACTCCTGACAACCCCCAGCCCTCCACGCCACTGCTGGTTGGATCACCCACTGGTGTGCCACCCCTTAAGTTCAGATTTCTTCAAGGAAATCTGAAGCCAGGAAGTGGCAGGCCAGAGGGTCAGCAGCTCTCTCCTCCACTGAATGCTCACTGGACCCACAAAGCCACTAACCCATGTCAGACTCCTCTTTCATTGGTAAAAACTCCAATCTTGGTTTTCTCATTGTGGTGAACTGGGAAGATCCCAGGAAAATGCCACAAGGGCCCCTAGACCCATGGAACCAAGACTCTACTTGACCTGCAGAACCAGGGCATTGGACGCAGTGGACCTGGCTTCCAGTTTTTTGAATGTTGCTCACAACCACCCCCAGCCCCATGCTACCTCCTGGCTTACGAGAGAGGCGGCTGTGGTCCGGCTGGCTGCTACTCTGGGGGCTGGCTCCGGGGTCATCTCTCTGGATCTGTTGTTCCTTGCTGGCCACAATCTCAGGTTTGGGACGCCGTCCTGGATGGAAATAGGTTGAGATCAACAAGGGAGGGAGAGGGCATTCGATCTCCCTCTTCACAGAGTTGTTTTTGCCAAGGCACGTGCCAGGGTGATGTCAATAAGAATAAAACTGAGCATGTGGTTCGAGTCCTAGCTTCAGCCGACTCTGCCATGGTATTGTTGCTGGTCCCTGTGTAAGAGATGGACAAAGAGTGACTCTTCCAATGAAAGGTGTGGCCTGAACCAAGAGAGGCAGGAGCTGAAAGGAAAGGTGATGTCCAAGGTGAATAGCTGGGGCAAGGTGAGCAGGGCTCCCACCTGTGTCTGCTAGGACTTGCTCAGGCTCACGGAAACACCAGACTGGGGACAACGTGTGACTCTTACCAGTTCGGAAGGTGACCATGGCTGTCTGGCCCTCGCCCGCACAGTTGTAGGCAGCCATCTCCACTTCATACAGACTCCCGGGATCAAGTCGGCTGAGAGTCAGGCGGTGCTGGCTGGCTGGGATGCCGGAGATGGTCCAGTCATCAGAGGTATTTGTAACCTGCTGGAGAAGGTGGCCTGTATGAGAACCAGCATCCCTACTTGGATCTACACATGGGCTGTGGTTTATGAAGTAAGCAAAAACAGTCCAAGAGGGCAGGGAGGGAAGGAAAGGAGTGGGCGGGTAGGGGGCAGAGCCTGACTGTCCCTCATCCTCACTGCAACAGTAGAGCCAGGCTCCCTGGCACCTATTGTATGATGCCTCAACGGAAAACTCAGCGGCTACTGTCAGAGGCCTGACTGGAATCGTTGAAAGCTTCTCTGAAGACCTTGTGCTTAGGAGACTCTCTAAATTGAAACTCTCTTACTCCTTGCTCTATTGGAATCAAACACAATTCCTTCCATTTACATCGTAATACGATGATGATGAGACAAGAGTAGCAGCGGCAGAAATACCACTTGCTCAGTGCTCACTATGCACTAGGCCCTGAACTGAGCACTTTCTATACGGTGCCTCATTTTTCCTCATAGCCCTGTTCACAAATGAGAGCTGAGTCATTTGCCCAAGATCATGCCACTAATGAGCAGAGACACCATGACTTCACTCTAAAGTGCATGGCTCATAATCATAACCTATCCTGGAAAGAAAAAGAGTCAGAGCCAGAAAGACTTGGGTTCAAATCCTGGTTGTGCAACTATGAGAAAGTTCCCTAATTGGTCAGTCAGCTAGACTTTTTGTTTCTGTTGTTGTTGGTTGCCTCTGACTCAGGGCGACCCCGTGGACAACAAACTGCATGAGAGCTGCCTGTCCCATGCCATCTTCACGTCATTGGTGTGCTCCTATCCACTGTGCTCAGTGGGTATCTCCAGTGCCTTCTAACTTAGGGGCACACCTTCCAGAACCATGTTGTTCTTGTTCAAGTGCTGTCGAGTCAGTTCCCACTCATAGCGACCCAGTTTAAGGTTTCCAAGGAGTGGCTGGTGAGTTTGAACCTTGCAGTTCAAACTGACCTTGCAGTCTAGTGCTTATCCTACAGTGGCATTTTAGGACTCTAAAGAGACAATATTTTGTTATGATCCACAGGGTTTTTTCATTGGCTAATTTTGGGAAATAGATAGCCAGGCCATTCTGCCTAGTCTGCCTCAGTCTGAAAGTTCCTCTGAACCCTATCCATCTGATCCTGGTGGTACTTGAAATACCGGTTGCGTAATTTCCAGCATCACAGCAATATGTAAGCTACCACACATAGATGAGTGATGGTTTCATTTCTAGAACAGGGCAAAGAAGGCCTCTCAAGTTATTCTGAGGATTAAATTTGGTGGCACAGGTAAAGTAACTAACATTTATGAACTGTCACAAAATAGGTTTCTAACGTATGCCTGTCCCCTCTCTTGACATCCCCACATCCTTCACCCTGTGAAGTGTCTGCCGTTTCAATCCCCACCTTTCTCTCTCTCTCTTTTTTCTTTCGCTCGTTGGCCTCAGACCTTGTTCAGGATTTAAAAACTGTGGACAAACTATAACTTTCATGAATGAGTTTTTCATAGCTTTGAGTCTCTAGTCCTTTAAATGAAAAAGGAAAACAGAGGAGTTCCATGTCTCCCCAAAAGTGATGCTGAAAGGCTGCCTGCCTCATCTCACCCCCACTTCACCTCTCAGGACAAAAGACTCAATATGCTCTCAGCTACTAGCCAAAAGGCCCACCCAGAGGCATCTCAGAAGAAAGACCTGGCGATCTGTAGAAACATCAGCCCTGGAAAATTCTATGGAGCACAGTTCCACTCTGACACACATGGGGTCACCATGAGTTGGGAGTAGAATTGACAGTGTCTGTGTTTTTGGTGTGCGTCTCAGAGAGCCTGCTGGAAAGTGAGGCTGTGGTTTGCTGAGGGAAGCAAACAGCTGCTAGGAAGAGCTTTTATCCCCAAGTCGAATATTCAAAAGGGGAACAAAACCTACCATTCAAGAAACAGGGATGGTCTGGGCTCATTAAAGTAAGGTTTCCAGGATGTGTTCCAAGGGGAGAAGCTTTACAAACTGAGACTCCCCAGAGAAGCTGGAAACCCAAACACAGTAGCCCAGGGTCTGCAGATGGACCAAGAAGTGAAGCCGGCTTCACACACTTGAAAAAGTGAAAATTAGCCAAATGATTAGTCCCAGTCCCCAGCAAGAGAATGGGGATGGAAAAACACCAAACAAACGCTGACTTCTGATTTCAAAATCCTTTCTTGTGAGATGGTGTTTAGGACATGTTAGTCCTGCATGAAAGGAACTGCTTTCAAGACATAATTTCTGCCCTGGCAACATCCATCCACCAGCCCCAAGAGCCCCAGAGGCCAGAGTCTAATTGGAGCCAGACACAGCAGGGGCTTGGTCCTCTTGCTTCCTCCACCCCCAGCCCCAGCCCTGGGCCCAGTAATGAAAATACAGAATGGAAGGGTCATTAGTCACTGTCATAGGCACTGTGAGGGTGACTCGGCTGCAGCCAGCCACTTCCGGACCCCCACGCCTGGTTTTTGCCAGCCTGTCTCTTGGTGAGGCTATTTTGTGGCCACCTATTGGCCTGAAAAATATTATTTTTGCTATCACACTGATTCTTGTCTCCTGGGGCCAAGGGTATTTGGCCTGTCTTGATTTTTGTCTACAACTCTGTGATGGAGGTATCCAGTTACATGAGAGGTAAGGGTTAGTACCAGGCCTACCCATAACCTAGGCTGAACAATGCAACTTTTCATTAACTCATTCACCAATGGGCGAGGGGTAATGAAGAACTGTAAACTGTGCCCCTCGCTCCACCTGGACAAGCAACTGAGAGACAGGATGGGATGTTCTGCTTTAGGTGTGTCTCTAGGGACTTGTCTGGACCCAAGGGAGCATGTAAAAGAAAAGAACAAAAGAAGAAGGACCAGCAGGGTCCAAGGTAGGACAAACAGCTTCCTCACAGCCAAACTTTTCATCATGCAGGGGAGGGAGAGGGGAGAAAAGTGGATCAAGGTTTCTGACACATTCATCTATTTTCTACCAAGAATATTTTTTATATGACAATAATATAAATGCATGCTGAAATCCTATATTTTATAATACAGGTTATTATTTGGAGTCCTGGTGTGGCACCGAACTCCTAACCACAAGATTGGTGCTTCAAGCTCACCAGCCACTCTTTGGAAACCCTATACAGGATTGCTATCAGTTGGAACTGACTTGACAGCATTTAACAACAACAGCATTTTTTACTAAGTGAAAATTTTAAATCCATTTAAGGACAGTGATTTCCAACTGAAAGATTGACCGTTCAAATCCACCCAGAGGCACCTCATAAGACAGGTCTGACACTCTGCTCATGAAAAAGCAGCTACTGAAGACACTCTGGAGCACACTTCTACTTGAAGGCAACTGCTTACTGGCTAATGGCTTTAGGAAGACTCAATGTTTTTTAGCACATTTTCTTATAGCATAGTGGTTATGAATTGGGCTGCGAACTGCAAGGTAATCAGTTTGAAACTACCAACTGCTCCGCGGGAGAAAGATGAGGCGTTCTGCTCCCATAAAGATTTACAGCCTCAGAAACCCTGTTCAGGGTTGCTATGGGTCGGCACATAACAACAACAACAATCCTCTGTGGAGTAACAGCCAAGCCTCCAGGGAGGGCAGCCAAGTGGCCTCCCCATCCTGGTATCCAAGAGGATGGGGATGGACCAGCACTGTTCATGCATCCGGAATCAGCCAAAGAAGCCCTCCTTGACAGCACCCAGAACATTCACCTGGACAGAGCTCCTTCTGTCAGAGAAATAGCTGAGAGCTAAACAACACAGTGTGCTTTCAGCTCAAATGCCTACTTGTCAACCCCGAACCATGATGAAGTCTGAGAACTGAGGGGGTATTTTACAACCATCAGAGAAAACACTTGTTCACAAATATCTGTCTGTGTTTTCCTGGCTTTGGAATGAGCTACCCATGCCAGAATTCCTGCAGGTATGTACCTACCAGAGTTTACTTTGGTTCAAAAGCAAAGCACAACAACAACATCAACAACAAATGACAGGAAAGAGGTGAGAATAAGCCATGGTTCACAGGGTTGTAGTTGTTAAGTGTGGTCGAGGTGGTTCCGACTCCTAGTGACCCTGTATTGGGTTTCCGAGGAGCAGCTGGTGGCTTTAAACTGCCAGCCTTGTGGTTAGGTTCACAGAGAGATGGCCCTAATTTCTCCTCTAGGACTAGGAGTTGATGTTACTAGCTCCTGGCAAAGAAATACAGAGAGCCCAGACCTGAAGGTACAAGGCTCTTGCATAGGTCTGTGTTTGGTGGTGACTCGGAATAAAGGTGTGGCAACTGACTTCAAAAATACCAAAGCCAGGAACAACTGAATGGAGCAGCTCTACTCTGCCACAAATGGGCTTGCCATGAGTTGCAACCAATTCGAGAGTACATTTTCTGTTTGGGTTATGGCCCCATATGTCCATCTCACAGCCAGGTTCCTGGGCAGCGTTAGGAATGACACTAGAGGAGGCGGGAGAGAGTTCATGATCAGTGGAGAGGCTCTGGCTCAGCATCACAGAGAGCAGGCTGTGCACGGCAGGTGGCAGCCCAGACCAGGGACCTTATTTACATACCTTTCGGTGTTTCACCACATAGTAGAGGATGGGCGCCCGGCCACCGCCCTCATGCCGAGGCCGCCACACTAGCTCATACGAGTCAGTTTTGGATGTCCGAGGTGAGCTCAGGATGATGGGGGCCTCAGCAGGAGCGACCTGGCCCTTGTCTCCCGGGCATGGTGGGGAAGCAGGTTGCACTGATGTTGAGGGCCCAGGGAGACCCGTGTGCCCCCTCAGCATCTGGTCAGGGCTGCCGGCTCTGGAAAGTGGCACGGCAGGTGTGGCCATTTCTGCCTTAGCATCTCGCCACGGTTTTAGGGTTGTGCCTGGAGGACCAAGCAGGAGAGAGAAGAGAAGGGATAGGCATATTAGTCACTGTTGTTAGTTTATCTACTGAGAGAGAAAACTAGGAAAGAAATGTGAAAGAAGGGGCAGAAGGAATCCCTCATGCTTAGGATCTGGGGTGACCATCACCTACTAGGGACATAGCCAGGCTTGGTGGGAAGCGATGCTGATGCCCTGAAGCTCTGAGGTGATGGACAAGCTTCTCTGAGACACACCTCTTTTCCTGAGTCTAGTTTGTGCCTGAGGTACAGGACCCCTACACGTCATTAATTCTTACATCCAGGTTGGATATGGGAACATGCTGTTTCTCTGTGGGGTTTTAACAACATGATACAATGTGGGCCTTTCCCTCTGCTACTGAAGAAATGTGGACAAGCAAGCTGGGATGGCAGCTGCAGCTCTCCTCTCTCAGAAATCCCCACAAACTCCACCAACACCTGTCTCTCCTCTACCCAACCTTCTACACAACAGGATGTTGGCACCTGATGGTGAGTCAGTATTTTATTAGTCATTGTATTTTTCTCCAGTTGCTTTCTTGGTAGGTCCTGCCTCCTTGATACGAAGCCTCTCGAGTGTCTACGCCTTGTCACATTTCTCTGCATCCCCCACGTTACTTTGTTGAGAACACAGTAGCTGTGCACTTACTATAGGTACCAACTGAAATGAATCAAGCTGAGAACGACAGACTTGCTTTGTTTCAGAGTAGTTGCCAAATTGGGTTCCATGGAATCCAAGGGAACCACAGATTCTGCAAACTAATTTTTTGAAAATTTAAAATATATGTGCTTGCTTCAGCAGCACATATACTAAAATTGGAATGATCCAGAGAAGATTAGCATGCCCCTGTGCAAGGACGACACAAAAATTCTTAAAAACACTCCCTACTTTTCAAAATGTTCTGTTAAATATGTATGTATATATATACACACACACAGTAATTGAATCATGAGCAAATTTTTCTAAGTTACTTCTGACTTACGCAAAAGTTAATATAAACTCGAACTACTTTTATTTCCTTTACTTATTGGGGCTGTACTCACCTGGCCTGGCGGTCCTCAGCTGGACCACAGCGTGGGCACTCCCAACCTCATTCTCGGCCATGCACTGGTAGACACCTTCGTCCTCGGGCCCCACACTGACCACGCGGAGGGCTCTGCGGGACAGGCGGAGGCGATGGCTGGGGGTGAGGGGTATGGCATTCCTTAGCCACAGCACAGAGGGTGGAGGGTTCCCGCGAACCTCACAACTGAGTTTGGCACTCTGGCCCCATGGGATGAGCAGCTGGGACAGCTCCATGGTGACCTCGGGAGGTTCTGTAGGAAACCAAAGTGGAGTGAGAAGGATGGCTCTTCCCTTCCTCAGTTGTCAGGGGAGCAACCTTCTTTCCTGGCTGCTGGTATCCATCCCTCAGGGGAAGGGGTAGAGGGAAAGAAAGATGTTAGAGTCCTGGCAGGGAAGGGAATGAAGATGTTGCCAGGACCCGGTGGTACACAACTGTGATTTTCCATGAACTTCCTGAGCCTCAGAGAGAAGGTTGGGGAGAAGGAGAAGGCCAGCAAGAGGCACTCACCAAACACCTGGACGTTGTAGAGGATGACTGCTGCCCCAGGCTCCCCAACCCCATTGTCGGCCATACAGCGGTAGGTCCCTGAGTCCTCTTCACTGGTGGTGTCAATGAGGAGGTTGCTCAGCAGGAAGCGTGTTTTGTTGTAGCCAGCTACACTGGACCCGTCCTTGGCCCAAGTGACCTGCGGGGGTGGGATCCCACTGGCCACACACTCCAGGATGAGACTCTGCCCCTTGGTGACAATGATGGTCTGGGCCTCCGGGGGATAAATGATGCGGGCAGCCTCTGCGGTGGAGCCTGGAGCGGTATAGAAGGTAGAGTCTGTGGGACCCAAACTTCATGCAAAGGGTGCCCTCCTGCCCTTTTGTGTGTGTGTGTGTGTGTGTGTGTGTGTGTGAGGTAGCCCCATCTATGTAAAGTGGACATGTCCCTCAATTCCCCTGAACCTTGGTTTCCTTATCTGAAAAAAGGAATTCTGAGTCCTGTTCTAAGTGATAAATGGGAAAATACCACAGTAGAGTATCATCACTGGAGTGCCTGACTGTTAACTGAAAGACCGGTAGTTCAAACCCACCTGTGGGCCCATAGAAGAAAAGATCTGGCAGTCTGCTTAATAAAAATTAATAACAAAACAAAACAAAATCCCAAACCCATTGGCATCCAGTTGATTTCAACTCACAGCAATCCAGTAGAACAGAATCAAACTGCTCCATACAGTTTCTAAGGCTATAAAGCTTTATGGAAGCAGAAGGCCACGTCTTTATCCTGAGGAATGGCTGGTGTGCTCAAGGTGCTGACGTTTCAGTTACCAGTAAGGCACTTAACTACTGCAGCTCTCTCCATAAAAAAAATTAAAGTCTAAGAAATTCCATGGGCAGTTCCGTTTTCTCCTACAGGGTCACGATGAGTCAGCATCAACTTGATGACCCCCACTAACAACAACAGCGTGTCATCCACACTTGAAGTAAATACATTTAACTTGGTGTGTTTGCAAAGAGGGAACGATGAAGAATGTGGGAAGACAAAGAGAAACAATTTAAATGGTGCAGGTGATTTTTCCTGCATGCCTTCTGTAAGTGCATTCTGGGGCCCAGGTTAGGATATCAGATCCACAGGTCTGAGTTCCCAAGTGCCAACAACTCTACAAATGCATGCCAGCTACTTCATCAGGTGCTCAGTGGAAGAAGCAGAGGTGTTTATCCAGCACTGGGGGAGAAACTACATAGAACTCATTGAAAGGCATGTTCATTTCTGACACATGCTGTCCTTGGGACCTACAAGGAGCATGCTGGTTGTGTGAACTTGGCTTTATGTGCCAAGCTGGACATAAAGTTTTGAGTTTTATGAGACTTGGAACCTCAACAATTTGGGATGTCTTCTTTAAGAAAAAGAATACCAAATCACAAATAAAAAACTAGACATAGAGGGCCCGAGAAAGTAGCAAACCACTGAAATTTTGCATCATTAGCTTCATGGTGAATTCACCTAACTTTCAAATGTAACACTCCACTGACTATGCCAAGAGCCGGAGTAAATGCTCAGGAATAGTGGTTTCCCTATTAATGGGGAGGTGCAGCCATCATGAGTGTTCCTGTGAGGGAGGGATTGGGCTGCTGTGGGCCCAGCCCCATCTCATTTAGGGTAGAGCAGGGAGCCTGAGGCCTTGCCTCCATGTACAAACACACCCTCATCTTAACTCTGCATATGCTGCATAGTTAGTGGAGTGTCAGACTTCGCCACACCAGTACACAAATTCTATTTTGCACAAACTTTTTGAAGCCCCTTGTATACAATGAAGGAAATCTCTAACAGCAGGCAAGGGATGACTCCCACAGTGCTGATGTAACCAGTAAGCACAGCCACCCACTACAGCCAGACCAGGAGCTGTGAGAAGTGGCACTGGGCCAGCCAGAGGAGCAAACCCTTGGACTCTGGTTCCAGATGCCCCAGTGATCTGTGCCCAGGGTCACCCCCTACCCCTGGGAAAGAGAGCTGGTGCTTTGACTGAGGCCCCCCTGCCCAACCATCAACAGGGCCCCTCCACCAGGAGTGAGGTCCTGGCCCTTACGGCGCACTCGCAGCCTGTCGCTGGAGCCAGAGGTTTTCACTTCCTGGGTCACCGGGTTGTAGGCTGCGCACTTGTACATGCCCTCATCCTCCTGGCTGGCATTCACAATCTGGAGGTTCCCCGATGGCATGATCAGGTAGTTATCTGTGGAAAGCGCATGGTGAAGGTGAGTAATACGGAGATTAATTTGGGCCCAGAATATTGCACTCAGCACCACCTTCTTAGTGTTATCCACAAAGGCAAGGGATCAGGGAACAGGAAGGGCTGCAGCCAGGAGCTGACATACACCTTAGTCTCAACAAGCCCAACCTAGAATGATTCTTCCTCATTAAGATTTTGCTGTGAATGAGGCTGATGAGCCAGGGAGAGGAACCCCAGGGAGAGGAACTAACTAACACACCAGCTAACAAACTGGGTGACTAACCCCCTGAGTTAGTAAACAGGTCTGTAGAAGAGAAGTTTATACTTTCAAGAAAGCAGGGTTCAGGTGAAAAAGATGCAGGATTTGGGGTCAGCCAGACCTGGGCTCAAGCTCTGGACCTGCCAGGTACTCATTGTATGATGCTGGGTAAGTTAATGAACCTCTCTGACCCTGCTTTCTTGTTTGTGAAATGGAATGATGCATTCTATTGTAGGGCTTGAGGGGACCCTGCTACACATTTAGGCGATGAGATGGCAATTCTTGTAAGCCACCAGGAAGGAGGGACCTGGCTTCGACCTGCTTCTCAGTCTCTGAGCCATCCTCACTACTGGATCTGTCACTGGACAGGAATATTCTAACCTCAAATCACTGCTCTCTTTACGACATCCAATGTACCCCCCTGCTCCCCTGATGCACTGCTGGTCTGTGGGACTTTGTCTTCTTTTTCTTGAGGGACACTATAGCTGGGAGGTCCTAGGTATGATCAGGCCTGTGAAACAGGAGGCAGAGTCTCAGCCTCTGGACACCAGCATTCAGCTTCCTGCCAGGCAAAGCACTTCCTGTCAGTTTGGTAGCTGACCTGAGAACCATGTCATCCTAGACAGTCCAGTGTCTGCCTGCCGCTGGGTGTCCCCACGTGTGCTCTATTTGGACAAGGGCCGCATCAAGCAGGGATAGCCCTAGACCCTTGTGGGGCACTAATGTTCCTCTCTACTCAGTTTCTTGTTATTTCTGAGGAGAAGGTTAGGGTTTTTACCTTTTTTTAAAAGTCATTTTCTTTATTTTCCAAATTTTCTATAATGAATATATATTCTTTTCAGAACTAGAAACAGTTAGTGAAAATATTTTAAAATTTATAAAACTATCTTAACAGGTATACATCTTGAGCTGTGGAGTCAAATAAATAGATTCTACTTGGCCCCAAACGCAGGTACAAGTGTGTAAAGAAGCTGACCCTTTCTGGAGGGGTAGTCTCCCCTGAACCCCAGTACCGTGTAAACCAAAGCCTGGCCCACTCTGGCCCGGCTGCTGTGTCCACTGCGGGCTGGGCAGGGAGGGCCAGGTGCTGTGTTAGCTGCGATGACTGTTATTAGGAAAATGGAGAAAATGACAAAACTAAGTTCTGCTGAAAAGACTGCTCCGCTGTGTGAGGAACAGTTTCACGGGGCATCCTGAAGCTCTGGGAATGGCTAGGTTGGCCAGGAAGTCTTCTGTATGTGGTTGTGGGAGTGAGTATGCAGGGAAGAAACTGGAACTAGGTGCTGAGCACCCTGATCAAATGGCAGCAGTTTGGTAACACCTTCCAGGGTTCTCAAAGGGTGACATAATGGGGCAGAGGGCCTCCACAGTGGAAGCCAACTCCCTTAGCCATCTATAGAGCTAAACATCAAGAAGGAAGTAGTGTGAGGAATGGCGCTATCGGCGTGTTTAGGGGGCTTTGGTGGTAGCAGCTTTGTTGGGCTTCCCTCCTGACTTGGGGCCCTGCCCTGTTCACTCACCTCGAGAGGCCTCCAGCCACTCCTGTTTGACACTGTATCGGACCTGGGCCTTCGGATGGCTCTCTGGGAGGTGGCAGGCAATGACTGCTGTGTTCCCTTCATCTACTTCAATCACATGCTGCACGTCCAGCTTGAAGTCCTGGAGGTCTGTGGAGACAAGGGGAGCTGCTGGCTGAGCCTTCATTTCATGGTGGAGAGTCAGTGCCATGGGATCTTTATGTCACATAAACAGGTCACATAAACAACTACAGAAGTTAACACACTGGAAATTGTCAAGGACGGGTGGTCTCCATAGGAGCTTACAGAATAGAATGTGCATGGTGGCATGGGCTGAGCACTGCCCGGGGCTGGAGTGAGTAGACTGGGGGAAAGAATGTCATCAGGAGGTGTCTCCGACATGGGCCTGCCCTTTTTGGTATGCTGAGACAGGATGGGGGCGAGCTGGCAGTGCTGGTCGGCCCTACTCAACCAGGCTGGGAGTGGGGTCACTACCAAAGCATCAACGTCCTGGCACAGCTGTGGAGACTTAGCTAAGACTTCTGGAGAAGGTTTGGAGGGAAGAGTGAAAGAGAATGCTGATGTCTTTTCTCCTATTCAATCAAGAACAACCCTCCCAAATCCTCCTCAGACATTCACAGCAGAAAGTACCAGGTCTGAGATTCCATCCAAGGCCACCATGGTTGTAACCAGAAGCTGACTCCTGTGAACAAGGAGTTTCGCTCAATGCCATGGACAACCTAGTGGATGGCCCAGGGATCTGTGGATGCTCTAAGGGTTTCTGAAGGCAAGGAAAGTTCTCTTGTCCAACAGGAATCACCCTGTGTGGCTTAACGGCAGTGGAAAGTGGGGGAGCTTCCTGACAACGGGCTTTGGCTTCCACATAGTCTCTGGCAATATTGTCACTGGGTTTCCCTACTCAGCTTAGTGACGGGGAGCCTGGGATCTAAACTGGAAGAGGGTGGACATCCATCTGGAACCAGAGCAGAATATTTCCCAACAACCCAACAGTCCAAACAACAAAACTCTCTTTGTATGAGCCAAATCACTGATGTTGCTGAACAGAACAGGGACCATTTGTGCCAACAAAACCGCATTCCATATTAGGTTTTCAGGATCATGGCTGAATTTAAGAGAAGAATTAAAAACTAATGTGGAGTAAGATAAGAGAGATGAAAATGTTTATGTCTTATGATTTTTCTTCATAAAGTGACTTACAAAGCCCTGAAAGCATTCTCTCTGAATGATGACCACACCAAATTCTGCTCAGCTCCTGATACCATCAGAGCGAACAGCAGTTTCATGGCAGGTTTCCACTGGAGAGCCAGAGGAGGCAACAAGGACAGGCAGGAGTTAGGTTTCACACAGAAGACGAGAGAGAATTACCAACAACCAGCTACTGTCACCACAAGAGATTTTATTTCATGGAACTTTCCAGAAGCTCTCCATCAAGTCAAGTCAGGACAGGAAAACTTTTTGTTTTTCCTGAAAGGATCCTAGTTCCTTGGCTTATAATGCTGGATTGTGTATACGTGCCTCGTCCAGGGCCTGGCCCCAGCAGGCACTGAGTAAATGTCGAATGAATTAAATGAGTGAATATCTTGGAAGCAGGACCATTTCTGTTGCCTATGAACTCAAATGCCCTGGTTTAATATGGTCTACACAGTGAGATCAAAGACAAGGGTGTAACACAACAAATGTTCTGTGAACATTTTATCTAAGTATGGCCAATGGAAACTATTGTGAAAATAGAACGTTTCTTGAGAAGTTATGCTAAGGTTCCAGGAGACGGGTGAAGTTGTTCTAATAAACGTGGAGTAAGACATACATGCTGTTCACGGAGCTGTGTGGTAAAAATGATGACAGACTCCCCAATTGAATTCACTCTTTCTACTGGTCCATTGTCACTCAGGCTGACCAAGCAAGGAGCCTGGGTCAAAGTGAGACTTCTCGCATATGCCTGCCTTTTGCTGGGTATATATCTTGGGTTTTTAAATAGTCATTTCATCATTATTTAATTTTATGTATGTGATATTGGACCTTAACTAAATTACAAATTCCTGGTGGGCAACCCAAGAATTTTGCACCCAGGTCCCAAGCCCACTGTACAGTACTGAAAATGTAGCAATTCTCTCCAAATCCTTACTGAATGAAGGCTAGGCCCAAGGTCAGCTTCAGAGGTGTGCAACCTATGTAGTTCACAGAGCCTTGCTCTTGGAACACGCCTGGTTGAATGTTCTGCTGTCACCATCTTAAAATTCTTAATTCACTTTTTAACTAGGGGCACTGTCATTTGCATTTTGCACTGGGCCCCTTGAATTATGTAGCCAATTCTGGTTGAGTCTCTCAGCTAAGACAGCTCTGAGCTTTCTCTCAGAGAGGAGGGTTTGGACCAGGAAAGAAAGTTGATGGCCTGTGCTCCATGTGTTGTGGCTAAATCTTGGTAACTCTGCTTTTTCAAAAGCTACACACTTAAAACGAAGCAAAACACCCAAGTCCCTAATATTCCTTCAGGACCATGCTTGTCATGTCAAGAGGCTCCCCAAAGCACGTGGTGAGCAACTGAATCATCAGGGGTATCAGGAAAAGTCCTCATTCACCGAGAAGTACTCTCCTGCATGCTCTAATAAACCCAAAACTGCTCCACAAAGGGCTTCTTTGCTGCTGCTTCTTTACATCACTCTAAGGAAATTCGCCTCAGGCAAGAATAGACTTACTTAAACCTAGCAGATCTTTCTGCAAGAAAAGATGTAAGCCACTGAAATGGGTTTGGCACCAGAATGCCATCTCCATGTCAATGGCCCCAGGCTCCCACCCTACTGTTAATTAAGGGCTTATCTAGACCCTGCGCACTGTTCCACACCCCCACCACAACCTCCTCTGGCCCCTCTAAGCTCTTCTGCACTCTCTGACAACTGTTCTGTTCAAAACAGAAGGCTGTGTTATGGGGGAGGCACACGGTCATCCCAAAGCCCGATGGCCCTTCTGTTCTGATGCCAACATGTGCACAACAGCCCATGTGAGCAGGACCAAGGGAGCCCCAGCTGGGCATCCAGCTCCCCACAAGACTGGCAGGCGAGTCTTCCTGGCTTCAAAACAAGCAGCAGTTGGGTCTTTGGCTCTGTCCCTTCCATGTGCCTCCTAAGCTTAAGCCTTAGCTGTTACTTCACTAGACAAACACTCCCAATTTGGCTGTTGGAGCAAAGCTTGAATTTCCCTAAGGGATCAAAGGCAGAGTAATGAAGTGATGAATGAGCTGAAAATCGGAGCACCCCCCTTTCCAAGTGTTTTTGGGTCGGAAGGAGGCCAGGAAGGGCGGAGACTCCATGATCAATATCAGCCTAGGCAGCCATCAGACAGGCAGATGCAGAGGGGAGCGCTAGTTGGCCACATATGAAGGGAACCAGTCTGTTCCCAGGCCCCTTTGTCTGCAAAGCCAGTTTCCTGGCTGCATCCTTGGACAGCTCAGCTGGCTTTACTGGGATGAGGTTATCAGGCTTCCCTGCAGAACCACGGATCAAGTTTCATAGGGAAACGGTTTGACAGGACACCTGTCCTTACTGTTGGCTAGCGTGTTTGAGAAATCCATTAGAGGAATGTTTTTGCAACTTTAATCCTCTTACCTTCCCTCACACCCCTCCTTTGCACCCTGTCTTGGTACATTCTTCCAGCTACTTTATTAACTTGTCCACATTAATCAAATGCCAATAGGCCAACTCTTACTGTTTCTCCACTCTCCACATATCAGGAGTCCTGGTCTTGGGGGCCATATCTGAGCTTACTGACCTTCTTTTCTTGTCACAGAACTTAGTGCTTTCTGAGAAGACCCCAAATGTTTTCGATGACATATAGAACCCTGCCCGTCTAGGGAGTCAATTTCTTAAGGGAAGATGTATGAGGGGTCTTCGAAAAGTTCACAGAAAAATTCCATTATGTTTCATTCCATTTTTCCACAGACTTCTCGAATCCCCTGGTATATTCTAATATATTACTTTTAGGGAAGCCCTGGGGATACAAATTACAGAGATCTGTTCATATACAAAGCATGTGATGTGTTCTGTGTTTCTTGTTCAGGTACACAGCCTCTTTCCACAGTAACGATGGAGATGAATAAAAGACTCTTAGAAGCATAAGGAAGATGCTGTCACCAGGATCTTATGCAAAACTACATCTGGACAAATTTTATTTCAAGCCCTATTTTACACTTCTTTCACCTCACCCTGTAATATTAAGCCTTTCTTTACTCATAAAGGTTCAGCAGAACGATGCCTCAACTTCTTTTATAGCCTTCCTTTACTCACAATGGTTCAGTAGATGCATCAAATCACAATCCTTTCTGTACACTTGTATATTTTCAGAACATGGGACCAGGCGGTGTAGTGGGTTACATACATGTTGGCCTGCTAGCTGCATGGTTCGTATCCACAGAAGAAAGATGAGGCTTTCTGTTCTGTAGAGATCTGCAGCCTCTGAAACATCTTTGAGTTGGAACCAACTCAATGGCACACAACAACAACATCCACCTGAATTTCTAGAAACTGAGAAACTGTATACTTCCAGTTACAGGGTTTAAGCTACAGTTGTGTCCCTGCAAATTATACACTGTGTGTTCCATAAACCTAATCATCACTGCCAAGGGGTCTCTTCTTTTCCCCGAGTCCTCCTTTAGGCTGCAAATCACAGCTCAATTCTGTTAAAGTAAGAAGTTGGGTAAGATGGAACCTTCGATGTATCCCCAGGAAGATAGATCTCTCTCTCCAGGAAGGAGCTCAGTTGGACACTGAAAAGGAGTTTAGTATGTTTTGTTTCACCATTATAAAATAATAATAATTTCAAGGAGTCTTGGTGTGGTTCTCTAGGATCAGCCAGCACTGGACTGCTAACCTCAAGGTTGGTGGTTCAACCACACTAGTAGCTCCTCAGAAACCCTATACAGGGTCACTATGAGGCAAAACCAACTTGACTACACTTAACAACAGCAAGATAATTTAAAAATAAACTTAAAAAAAAAAAAAAGTTTGGCCTTCTACTCATCCAGACACTTCTCACGCACAGCCCTGCCCTTCTTCCTGCCTGTTCTCAGGGATCACGGGACAAGCCCGCACTCATCTGCTGAGGTTTGGATGGGCTCCACCAGATGGTGGAGGCAT